AGAAAGAAAGAAAGAAAGAAAGAAAGAAAGAAAGAAAGAAAGAAAGATTTAGAGGCCTAGAAGGGCTTTGCAAAAAGACAATCTGAACACTTATGCTATTCACTCTTAGTTACACATATACAGGAAACAGACAGATGAGGAGATCTGGAGGGTTTTGATTGACAGCTCCTCGCATTGTTGGGCAGCTTTAATAGAATTTATCCCCGCCAATATGCAAAGAAGGGGCTCAAAAAAAAAAAAAAGCATCACGCCCAGACTTCTGCTAGATTCAGACGGTGAATCTTTTATTCCTGCAGAACCATATGTCTGTCTGTCTGTCTGTCTGTCTGTCTGTCTGTCTGTCTATCTGTCTACAGTATCTATCTATCCATCATTATATCTATTTATCTATCTATCTATCTATCTATCTATCTATCTATCTATCTATCTCTAACCTTCCCGGGGTTGCCTTCTCCTTTTTTAAAATTCATACCCTAATACCCGGAGGGTTTTCACCCCCATTTTTCTAGCCCAGAACCACTTAAAACTTTTTCTGCAAAGGAAAATCAAGCCTTCCTTCAATAGAAAAATACTTTGTTCCCATCAGGATGAGACTATAGAATGAGAAAAAGGCCTGAAACCCTTTGAAAGGTCGGAGGTGTTTAAGATGGGGAGATTTTGGCTGAAATTCCCTCTCTCCCTCCAGCCAAAGTTTACCTGGAGACCCAAAGGTCCTTCCCCCCCCCCCCCCCCCCAGACTTTCTGGTTTTGCTATGAAGACATTTCCCCTCTCACCCAAGAAGCTTCTCCGGCTTCTTACCCGGAGACCTGTAGCTAAGGGGAGAGAATCATCCAGCGGATGGATTCCCTGATTAAAAAAAAAACTGTGTCTCCACACAACTCATCAGTTACACAGGATCCCGCGCTGGCTCTCTTTGCTAAAACGGGTTGGCAATCGTTTTTTTTTTTTTTTAGGCTGCGTTTTCCCTCCTTTTGCAAAGAGGGGATTCGATGTCATGCGAATCCACCCCTCAACCCTTCCTCTGCTTCGTTTACTGCCTTAAAACAAACCGGGGGGGGGGGGGGGGAGGGAGGGATGGATGAGTGAATCCCAAGAAGAGGGACAAAGGGGTTGTGTGAAGGCAGCCCCAGATTTCCTAGCGGTTATTTGCAGGGGTCCCTTGAGCTTTTGTTGAATCCACCGATCAATGTTTGGGGTGTTGCTGTTGTTTTGCAAGAAACGGTGTGTGTGTGTGTGTGTGTGTGTGTGTGTGTGTGTGTGTCCATTCTTGCTTCTAACCCCCCCCTCTCTCTCTCTCCTCCTTCTCTCCTTCCCTTCCATCGCTCAGGGCGCCCAGTATGAGCTGAAGGACAGTCCCGGCGTCCAAGCCGCGGCCTTCCCAGCCCCTCACCCGGCTTTCTACCCTTACGGCCAGTACCAGTTCGGCGACCCTTCCAGGCCCAAGAACGCCACCCGCGAGAGCACCAGCACGCTGAAGGCCTGGCTGAACGAGCACCGCAAGAACCCCTACCCGACCAAGGGCGAGAAGATCATGCTGGCCATCATCACCAAGATGACCCTCACTCAGGTCTCCACCTGGTTCGCCAACGCCCGGCGCCGCCTCAAGAAGGAGAACAAGATGACCTGGGCGCCCCGCAGCCGGAGCGAGGACGAGGAAGGCACCACCTACGGCAGCGAGGACGGCGAGGGGGAGAAGCGAGACCCCGACGACGAGGAGATCGACCTGGAGAACAGCGACAGCGAGCCGTTGGAGAGCAGCAACGGGCCGGCGGCGCCGGCGCCGGCGACCGGAGCCGGGGTCCAAGCCGGGCAGCTCTTCCTGCGTGTCGGGGAGGAAGAGGAAGAGGACAGGGCCGGCGGCGCGGATCAGGGGGGCGCGCACCCGACGGCGCTGCGCCTGCCTTCCCCGAGGGAGCCCCGCGGGGGCAGCGACACGTCGGACGAGGAGGAGGAAGAGGAGGAGGGGGAGGAGAGCTCCGACGGCTTCGAGGAGCTGGCCGGCGCTCAGGAGCGCTTCCTGAAGGCGGTGGAAGCGCGGCGGCGCGCCTCGACGGGACCCCCGGCCTCCCCACCGCCTCCTCCGCCTCCTCTCCGCAGCCCCAGCCCGCTCCCTCAGCCCGTCCAGCCGGCCAAACCCAAGATCTGGTCTTTGGCAGAGACGGCTACGAGCCCGGATAACCCCTCGCGCAAAACGCCCCCTGGCGGCGGAGGGGGAGGAGGGGGCTCACCCCCGACCGCCCCCCAATGCCTTCCCCAATCCGCCCGGGGCGCCGCCGCGCACAGACTCCTCTCCTCCGCCTGCCCGCTGGGCAAGTTCGCCGGCTGGTCGGGCCGGCCCTTCTCGGCCGCCTCCTCCCACCCGCTGACCTTACTGAACGCTCCCCATCTCTTGGGACTGGCGGGGGGCAACTCCAACACGGCGCCCGCGGCGGCGGCGGCGGCGGCTGCAGCGGCGGCGGCAGCTTTGGCGGCTTTTTCCAGACCGGCGGATCAGGCGCAGAGCGCGGAAGCCTCCGGAACAGGTAACCACTGGACGGAATGGGGGGGGGGGGGGGGGGGGGGGGGGGGGGTCAAACACAGGGGGGGGGGGGCGCGGCAAGCGGGAAAGGGGCTTTATTTGGAGGGGGGGGTCGGGGGCGTGGAGGCCCCACTTGGATCTCTGCGGGGAAAGTCAACCGTTCGCCTTTTCCTTCCCAAATCGGATTGGAAATCGATTCGGGAGCTGGAAGATGGGCCCTTGGATTTGATACCCGGTTTGGCCCGCGGAAGGGTTTGGGTTTATTTTGTTTGAGAGGACAAGCGTGTTCAACCCGGGATCCTCGGTGGCTGCGTTTCCACGAGCTGCTAAGCGCCCCCCCCCCACACACATACACACGAACAGTTATGCCTTCCTTGGCTTAGCTCGATGTACGTACGGATCCAGCTCTGGGCTGGGGTGGTTCCGTAGGTCGTGCAGAGACTGGAGGAATTTACAGAGGAAGTTCGAGGAATCTCGGTTCGGGTCAGGGAGGGCAAAGCGGGTCGTGAGAATCCAGCCAGCCAGGAATTCAGTGCCTAGTTTAGCAGCTGAGGACCTGGAGGTGGGGAAGAGAAAAGGGGGAAAAAAGAGGGTATCCCCCCCAAAATATGCCAATGGGTTAAGAAAGAAAAAGAGAGAAAGAG